GTCCGGCACGCCGTAGGAGCTGTCGCGGAGCCGCCAGGGCGGGTGCAGGCTGCGGGAAGCTGCTTGGGCCGGGAGCGTGGCGGACAGGTGCGTGGTCGCTCTTCTCCGTGGCCCTGGTGCAGCTCCTCCAAGTTTGCAGGGCGATCGGAGTCGCCGTCTCCTGAGCTCCGAGGTTGTCCCGGGGAAATGGGCCAGGCTCGTGCTGCGCTGGGGGTCCCCGGGGAGACCAGGCTGCGGCACAGAGACAGGGGATCTATGGGACCGGTCCCCACGGATCTTCTGGTAGGGGGTGCTGCCAGCCTGCCCCTTCCCGTGGGAGCACTGAGGCAGCAGGGGTGCTCCGAGAGCAGCTGGAGCTGGGGCTGATCCGATGACAGCAGCCTCCGCGGGTCAGACGGAGTGTCCACTGCGTGTCACTGTGCTGGGAGCTGTGTGTGCATCGTTCAGTCCCTCAGGCAACTCAGATCAGGCCTATGGTGTTATACCCATTTCCCAGAAGGGGCAAGCAGGGCATTGACGCTGACCAGCGTGTTCAGTTCCATACAGATGGTATGCATTGAGGGATTTAAACCTCAGATCTGGACCCTGTGCCGCTGTCCCCTTCACTCCCAGGGTCTGTTCCCATCAGCCCAGCCGCGTGGCGCCTCTGCGATTTTTTTTTTTTTAAATCCTTGACCTTGGGCTGGAGGAGGAGCAAAGCGCGGGCTTCCTATTGGCACATCTCCGTTTTGCTCCCCTAATCTCATCACTTTTTTTCATCCAGCATCGTGCTCCTATTTTGTGGACCGTCTGCACGGGAAGCTCATAGCTGAGGGCTGAAATTTTATTTTGTGATGCAGAACTTTTATCCCAGGTGCATTGCTTTACTCTTCCCTTAACGGGCATGCTTGTTAGTTATATAAATTGTTAAACACAACTGTCTGGATTGATTGATTGATTGATTGATTTGATTGGTACCGGGGATTGCGTTTGCTGGGCAGGCTCGGCGCCACTGAGCTAAAATCCCCGGCCCGACAAAGGTCATTATTTTGAGGATAATAGTAGCTGTAGCGTATCCTTAAGGGGAATGTAAGGAAGTCAGAATATATCTTCCAAGCAACGTTGTTACTTGGAAATGTTCTTCCAGGATTTTAAGGCCAGGTGAGAGAAGTAACGGAAAGCTAAAATAATGAGAAACTGGTGATTATGTTAGAAAGCTTTTATATTTTACATTAATATATCTATTTTAAGGCTTCATTCTCCATGAACATTTTCCTGTAGGGTAGGAGAAAGCTTATTGAAAAGGATGAAACTTATAAATCAGACATTCCCAAATGGTGTTTTTTTAGAGCTTTGTAGCAGTGTTAAAAGTGCGAGTATCATTTCTTTTAGAACATTGCAAGACTATTAAGAAACTCACAGTTCAGTTTAAGTAGCAAACTTGAGAAGCCATCACTGCTTTTATATATTTTACATTGTGTAAATATGTATGAGTAGAAATTCCTAATTCATAGTTTGTCTTGTGTGCATGTATGTAATATATGTTTAATTAATGTATGCCTTCATTTTCCCAGAAACTATTCCTTTTTTTAGCTAAAATGAAATAATTCTTTGTGTAA